CTGTGATTAGTGCACAAGTGAACAAGGTTTTTATACAGTTCGCCTCATGGTACCACACGTCATTAAACAGACATGAGAGATTGTGAGGTCACGGGTCCCCTGAGGTCTCAAAAAATGAGGACAGTAATGGTAAGATCTAATACCAAAGTGGATTTGTAAGAAAATAATTGAGAACTTTAAACAAATTCTGGTTTATTTTTTACTATGTGGGGTTTTTGTACGGTAGGGGTGGCGATTTTGTCCGGTGGGTTTTTTGTTCGGTGGGGATTTTGTCCTGGGGGTTTTGTCCTAGGGGATTTTATCCGGTGGGGTTTTTGTCCGTATCCCTATCTTACCTGGGCCGGTATTTAGCAGTAGCTGCACGTAGTTTACCTGGGCCGGTATTTAGCTGTAGCTGCACGTATCTTACCTGGGCCGATATATTATTCTCTGTCCTTAAACCGGGGGAGAGTTTTCCTTTGGAGGTTCCAAATCTTTGTCGACACAAATTAATGGTTCATTTGTTTTCCCAGTTCGTGAGCTACAAAGTTGATGGGACGTACTTCTTGTAATGCCATGGGATATGTTACTGCTCATCTGAATACCTGTGGCTCATATATTGTCGTATTACAATAGCTATTGTTTTATTAGACTTTTAATGTTTCACTTGGTTGATATATGTAAGAATTGGGTGTGGGAGCAACCTGAAGCAGAGTTACTTCTCCTGGATTCATTCTTGAAAGTTTTGATCCTTGAGAAAATGTGTCTGTACAGTAATTGATAATAATGACTGCCACTAGACGATTGCTGCATTCACAACTGACCCAGTAATCGCAGATTAATGTTTAACAATGGATCACCTGTTTTGCGATGCTCCACCTGCTAAGTGTTATGATAAAGAATTAGGAGATACAAGAGTGTTATTGCTCGACCCAGTCTTTACCGTATCAGTCTACTGATATTTTTTTATTGTGATCAAGTACTATATAAAGGTTGAGGGCCGCTGGAACCTGAATCAGCTTTGGCCTGTACAGGATCCTGCATCTCCTTTGTTTGAACATTTTTTTTTCTTTTAAGATCTACAAGTTCAATAGATAGCAACGTTCTATCCATATCCATATTTCAGCTTTTAGGTTTATGTATTTTACGGAAACTGTTCCAGATTTGGAGATTACACTTGCCTAATCCATTTCTCCTTATGGTTCCCTGCCATATGTCAGCATCTCTGCCAACTCTGGCATTGAAGTCACCAAGGAGCAAAACCTTATCTTCTCTGGGGAGAGAGGTTAGTACTCTGTCAAGGTCGACGTAAGATCTCTCTGATGTCATCCTCTGCATCCAGTATTGGGGCGTATGCACTGAAGAAGGCATGACGTGAGTGATTCAGTGGGACTCAGAGCGTCATGAGGCATTTGTTGATCCCAATAGGCATTTAATTTAGTCTGTGTAGGGTGGATTGACGAATGGCAAAGCCAACACCTTAAATGCGGTTTCTCTCCGCAGCTGGCTTACCCTTCCAGAAAAAAGTATAGCCGGACCCCCATTCTGGAGTCGACCCTCGTCTGGGAGCCGGGATTCACTAATGGCTACTACAGTATGTCGAATTGTCGATGTTATACAAAGACAGCTCTTTTGTCAAGGAATAGTCCGAGAAGACCGGACAACTCGCCAACCGCACTGGCTAATCATTATCCACAATTACTGTTGGGTAGACAGAGGCAAATGGC